AGGATGTCAAAAACAGCCAGGATGGGAAACACAGTAAGACAGGCCTTTCTTCTTCATTCATCTGAAATCAGTGTGGAGATGTACTGCACTCCACAGCACAACACTGCACTGCACTGCACTGGTGGTGGTTGAGAGAGTTGGCACATCACGAAGAGCATTTCCAACAAACTACTGACATACATCATCAACAGCTCCCACCTACGTTCACTTGATACTGAAGATGGAGATCAGATGGATGACCAGAATAATAAGAATGAGGAACAAGGAACTCTGGCTGGTTGGCTTGTTGTCAACGAACCAACCGACTAAGAGCGTATTGCCCAACAAATATGCAGAAGGAAGTGGAGATTGATTGTATTGAGCATACACTGAGAAGACCGATTGGTGACATCATGTGGCAGGCCATGCCATGCCAGGTGTGGCCCTCGAGTGGAAGTTAAAGTGGAAACGGCGAGTTGGGCGTCTGAGGTGAGGGTGAGATGGAGGAGATGATGTGAGGAAGAAATGGAAGTTTATAGGGAGCCGTGTAGCGAGGTTGAAAAGACTGTAGGTAACTGGAGAGTGGAATGGCGATGTGCTACTGAATCCCTATGTTCCACTGGGAACCGAAGGGACAAACAATAATATTCATAATGTAATTATTTGTTTCTATAACTGTATGTATAATGAGACAGATAATTCAGCTGATAACAAATTCTTGTCATCTGTCTACATAATGAGATAGTTCAATTCCTGATAATTTCGTTACCACTAACTAATACAACAAGCTTTAAAAAGTACATATGCTCAAATTTGAAAATTATAAGAATAATTTCCATATAAACAAACTTCTTGCATGTAAACACGTGATACCAATTTAGTCAACAGAAAAAGGCCGAAACATTTTCAGACCTGGAAATATCACATAACTAGTTTTCAGCTTAACCTCGCCTAATTCAGTAGCCGATCGTAAGCTCGGATAAAGAGGGAAGGTTAAGCGTAGGTCTAGCAACCCTACCCCATAAAACCAATCCAATCGCTAAAGAAACTTCAAAGTACAAAAAATATATAGAAAATAAAAATAAACTTACTCCTCACTGGAATGGAGAAGACGAAACGACGCCAGTTGGTGAAAGCCTTCAGGAAGCCAATTGGCCGATGTGTCTACTCTTCTCTCGATGAAAGCAAAAGTGGGAATGGGGATATGGAATTTCTGCACATTGTTTTTCAACGTAGAACCATATCAATCTATAGTGGCTAAGAGAAGGGCTTAAATTGGATACCTCAATGTTACTTGTTTACAATCTAGGTGGATTGTTTCTATTTCCATAGCTCAGCGTAATACACTTTTGATCGTTGAATAACGGAGTTGAGTTTTAGATAGAAAGCTAACATTCAGCTGATGAGTCTTGGAAAATATGAAGCGCATCCTTTGCATTTCATTACTGACTATAGCATCAACTCATTGCATATAGTGTAAATACACAGGTATCAAATAATGTTCTACTCTAAGTATACAGATTATCATTGATAGCTTCCGACATCGCCTATCGAAATCGCATTGATCAAATTCCTAGACTGAGTGATTAGCAATAATTGTTGAATTAACGGAATACACCCACTTAATCATTGGAAAAGACAAGACGTAGTTTCAGCAAAGAAAATTTTTTTAGACGGTCATTCACCAAGCGGACACATGGTACGGCTCGTAAAACGTGTCCGCGGACACTAACCAGCCTGGCTTGCAAAGAGAGAACGGAAATGCATCTTCAGTTCGATAACAGAACACCTCGCGAACTCAGGTCACTTAGCTTCTTTCGAGAGCTCGTTCAAAATTCTCTACAGAGGTCGATCAAAGCACTCGAAGGGAGTAAAATTAAGTCATCTGTCTATAGATGAAGCACTAGCCATTCACAAGTTCAAACCAGTGTTATGCGTGCAAAAAAAGTACGTCCAAACTTTATCTTTGCCATGGCCATCATAAAGCCCTGTCCGCCACAGATTCATTTTGTATCAGGTCATTACGCATGTATCCTTTATCCATTTTTCTACTCTGCCATAGATTGAACCTGCATTATGTAATTACAATCCTATTTTCACGATCCCCTGTTTATTCCCATACTGTCATAGGTTTATCCGGTATTACATAATCACAATTTTATCTTCACAACCCTTCATTCAGTTTTCTACTTTAGCGTACGTTAATCCTGTATTACGTAATTACACTTAATATCATAATCCCCTGTCTATTTTCCCACTCTAAACACAGATGTATATTCATTAACTTTCTTTAGTTACTCGATATATTTTACCCCCTGACCGGAAGCAATTCTGGAGTATTCTACCCACTGTAACATCTATTCACGAGTGTACGGTTTAGTAAATGACTTCGTCGAAAAGAAGAATTTTTCTTCGCTGAAACCATGTCTTGTCTTTTCCTATGAATTGTTGAATACCAATATCAGGCTCAATGTTCCCAAAATCCAACGAGATATGCATAAATTCTCTAGTTTAACTACCAGAAAATTGCTTAACTCAAAATTCCATTGGATTATATTACAAGAAGCGTTTACATAATTTGAACTGAACACATATTAATATAGTTAAATAGTGTTGCAACGCAAAAGTCATATTCTCAGATTCATCAGGCTGCAGTTGGATAGCTTTCAGGCTACTAGTAGATCAGTTTCGAAAAACACTTCAGATATGTATTCCACACAGAATGACTCATCAATACGTCGAAGGCAAAAGAATAACCTGCTGAATTTCGCATTGGAAACAAAGAAATGTAGTAAACTTGGACACAAGCATCATCTTTTACACGTTGGACTACTTTTCGTAAAAAAAAACTACGGGAATTGCGTCACTTGAAGTAACCATCTGTATTTAAGCATCAGTAAGATATTGCATTACTGAAACAGCTCGAGTAGAACCTCGGAAACAACTTCATTGGTTCGAGTTGTCATACTTCACACCAACATACAAGAAACAACTAGGCGGGAAAAGCCTGATATCAAAGTAGGCAAAGGTGTGTAGGTGGAGATATCTAAAACTGAAGGTTAGCCAAAATATTCTACATTTAGATATCAAATAGTGAAAAGATCTGCGTCATTATGACAAATCCTCAGCTATCTCACGAGCAATCTGCAAATATTGATTCATGTCACGGAGACTCCAGTCAGGTAATCTACACTACCAAGATCAACAGTCATAGACTGGGATTATGTCTTGTTATGGTCATCCTAATTCAACTTCCCCAGGATTTTAAGTGCATTCAGGATGTGGCTTCAGATACGAAATACATGACCAAGTAACCTCAGTCGATCAGGTTGTGAACCTTCATCGACTGACTTGCTTAGTATCATTTGCCTGACCTGGATATTGCTAACACGGTGATCCCACCAAACGCTGCATTTCTTCCACCTTCAACTGCTGTATAACAGGATAAAACGGACAGCAGGGCAGTAGACTCGTCCTCTGGTGAACAGTCAGATATCTCGCCAGTTGGAGCAAGTTGACGAATCCCACACCGGAACTATGGATCCGTGCTGAGATTTCTTCGGCAACAAACCTGCCCGGATTTACGTAACTCCATAAGTTAAGTGGTTAGCACACTCAATCACTTCGCCCCCAAACATTAAACTGGTAATAGTTACAGGCCAGCTATAGCTAACCTTTGGATGTAGGTTGAAAACTGGCAGCCCCGCTTCTACCATAACGGACATCATATCGAGCCAGGCTCCGGCACGATGAGTATTGTTGTCACCTTCAGATAAATTTCTGATTATCTCCTCCCTAAATATGTAACTGATGTTTCCACTGTCTAATAGACAACTCATAAAATTAACTACCGCCTGTTTTCTGCCAGCAGTTAGGCGCAAACATACACATGTACGTACTAAGGCGTTAACCCAGTTCTAACATCCGATGTAGCTTGTTGGGTTATTGTGATATACAAGGGTTATCACCACGTCAGTGTAGCAGCTATCTAAGTGGGATAGAAAAAGTGGACAGAGCAAGCGCGACATCAAAGTAAGCATCAGTATAAAAACGCGAAGTTCGAAAAACGAAGTTTTTTTAAAACACTTAGTGCTTGTAATAAATAGGATGTTTTACTCAGATTTTTGACTAAATATTAACTGGGTGAGAATTGTCCACCCATTTTGGTTCTTTAGTGCAAATTTTCAACCAGGAGACTCCTAGCCACAAACTTTTCCACTTTTTGTAGCCATGATATCGAATATAAATTAGACAAATTTCCCAAATATATATCCCTAGATTCTACTCACTATTTAAATATATATATCTAGGAAAAAGAAGTAATAGCGAAAAGCACTAGACTTAACAAGCGACTAATTTAGTATCAAATCAACAAGCTGGAAATGATATGCTGCTGTTTACGTAGTATCTCTTTTGTCTTATTCTACAAACCACATAAGTAAGACAGAGTCCTAATTTACCACCAGGAACACCTCAGAATAATCATAAATCCTGAAGATTTTATGAACCTTCATCTCTTTAAATGACAGTGATATTTCTTTAATATATTTCTAGTTTCCCTAAATAACTGCTGGGAACTATCGCACTGGCCAGTACAACTTAACTTTTTATGGTGATCAGCATTCAATTTCGGTATCCACAATTACCCAACCGTAAACAAAGTGTGGTGCTTGTTACTCTGAGATTTATCAAGAGTATGCTCCACACATAAATGAATCTCTATTAACCAGTTAGGCTTCCAGCATATCCCACTTGTTACTATTTATTGATACACTTCTTACTCTCCGTTGTTTTGTTGGATCGAATTGTTCGACCTTTATTGGCAAATGGACACCTATGCGGATGCCTCGATATTGCCTGAATGCTGACTATGATAATTTGGTTGGTTGTGGCTAGCAATGGGTACAAGATTGGAGTCTCAGTGGGAACAACATCACTGGGGTGTAGGTACATCCAGCTGACCAGTCAGTCCCAAACAGGACGAAAAGCACATCTTGGATTCTTCTGCTAGCCACAACCAACCAAACTGTCTCTCACATGGTTTCTAGAGTGCATGATGAGTCAGTAAAAAAGAACACTGAATAAATATGAAAAGTTATGGAAGAATCATGAACATATGGTTTATTGAAATACTTTATCAAACAAGTACAAAAAGAAACACTTACGAAGAAGCATTGAGAAAACCCAAGACTACACAACAGAAGAAATGAAAATAAGCAAATAATAATAATAATACACGATTAAGTCCCTTGTATAATATGCTAGAGACATTCTGAAAGTGAATCCATTTTGTAGATAGTATCAGCTTTCTTGGAATTCAAATCATCATTCAATGACTGATATTGTGCTTTTGTCAACTTCCCAGCGAGTAGTTTTTCAGCTAGTTGAATACCTTCTTGGATTAAATCACGATAATATTGATCCAAACTATTGATTTCATTCAACTATAAAAAGAAAATACAAGAACAAACATATCACCATAATGCTTTAAACAATAGTTTTCAAATTAAACGCCTAAAAAGGTTCAGGACAGGCAATATGTAAATAGTGTAGATATCTAAAATCCTAATTATGATGAAGCTAGACGACCAACAGAGAAAAAACACAGATCCGTGCACTAGATTGTGGCAATCTTTATGTACTACTGGACGATATTGTTCAGATTGTGCTACAGTGCTTCATAATCGGAATCTTCTAGATGTAATCGCAGTAAGCAATACATGCTTTCTGGTGAAACATTTTGTAAGGTTGACAGAAACAGAGTGATTACTCTACTATGTAAAGTGAGTTGTGTTAAAACTTTACCTTTTTTTATTTACTCGTAAATTATGTTCTACCAGACCAAACATCAAGGAGATAGCAGTTAGAAGAAACTTGAGTGCTGATTGAGTTGTGAGGGCGGTTGACACTTCCCAGCTGCCCACATCGTGGAAGGTTATTTCTTCTTAAGGTACCCGAAAGAGATTTGTGTGACCACAGAGCCCATCGGACATCTGCTTCAGGCCTGTCACATTCAGCCTTTTGACTATGATTATTTTTAACTTTTGTATTATTGGGGCCGGATGGTAGAAAACAAAAGCCAAATGAAGCAATACCACCGACCCGGTAGACCCCGGGGTATGGTGGAGTGTGTTATTTTGGGGGCCGATCTTTTCTACCCCCCCCTCCCACTTCCACTGAGAAGGCAGCATCACCACGGCACTGCTGGTTATCCAAGGGAAACACCTTACTCCTGTCACACCCCATCCAGCTAGCAGCAGTACGACTTCGCCCTCAGACCCCCATCATAGTGTAGTAATTTACGTCACAACGGTAACTGCTTTTCTTCTAACCACTATCTAACAGACCTTTATGGTATGCTAGGACCTCGAGGGAAGAAGCGTTCCACCAGCATAGCTCGTTAGGTCATTGTGATATGCAAGCCCGACCACCACGTCAAGGTAGCAGCTATCGGTCGGGAGACCAAACATAACAAATGTAACCGCATACCAAATGAACTTGACACGATTGACAGCTTATCAAAATGATTCAAAGATCTATTCTGATTGGAACGACTATTTCTCGAAGATCATACCATGACAGGAAATATTAACATGAAGTCCTAAATACTGTGTAACGGTTTAATTTAGCACACTTCGTATCGGGACATTAAAATATAAAGAAGCAAGATGAAAGATAAAAAAAATAAGAACGAGAAATGTAACCAAAAGTGGTAGAAATTTATAAGAAAGTAGGAGAATAATAAAACAAACATCGAAATATGATATGAAGATCATATGTAGGTATATATGCGCCACTGAAATCAACTCCAAATCACATCACCCAGCCTCCAACTACCGGTTTCGGTTTTCATACGCTCTGCAACTAAGCAGTTTACATTCCTTTATGAAACTTTGAGACAGAGAACCTTGTTGAGAATCAGAAACATCAGAACATCAGAAACCATACGTGGGATTCTCAACAAGGTTGGAATTAGGGTGGCATTAAAACCAACAAACTCACTTAGAGGTAAGCTTTGTCGGCTAAAAGATCCGATAGAACCAATTAGGCAAAATAATATAATCTACCAAATTCCATGTAATGAATGTGAAGTCAAATACATAGGTCAAACTAGCCGGTCGGGGTCAGTTAGATTAACAGAACATAGGAATTTAGCTAAACATAGAACGACAGACCTTAATAAGATCAATAATGTAGAAAAACACTCGGCCATTGCATTACATTCATTAACACACAACCACATAATAGGGTGGGACAAAACCACTGTACTTAAGTCTAATATAGCTAGGTGGAGAGAGAGATTAATTACTGAATCTTTGTTCATCGAATCCACACCCAACACATGTAATAGGAATGACGCGACACCTATACCAGAGATATGGAAAACTTTACTACCAATCAAAAAACAAAAAACAAAGAAAAATCAGGTGACAAGACTATAAAATCAGATATCGAAGGAAGTGTGATTACATTGATATGATTATGAGCAATAATTTATGCTCGAAACGTAATCAAGTAAATAATACTGTATCACTGTGCGCTATATATCAAATAAACAAATCTAATATGAATCTAAACCATCCTATTCCTCCCTGTTTTCTTTACCACTTTCAACAACTTTGACTACTTTCTTCCTTACTTCTTATCCTTTGTCAGTGCATTTTAGCTTGATGTGTTGACTTAGAGCGTAGTAACTTGAAACGTTGAGTAACAATGACAAGTCCTATGTTGCCTTTTCGAGTCTTATTTCCACGTCATGATTGGTATCATCTTATGAATGAAGCCCAATTACAACCCCATTATATTAGACTGCATTCGCAACATCTAAAATCGATTTCAAGTGATCGAACTAATCAACCAAATCACCAAAATGACTACTATTGTCAATGTCAGATATCAAGAGGATTTTTGTAAGCCAGTGAAAGTGCTACAGATATCTTATAGTTTTTGACCACCACAGTGGACGATAAACCTGTCATTTATTGTTTCTTTCTTATTTCAACATTTAGTAGATGGGAAAGTGAACTAATTGGTGTATTTGGTGATCATATTTTACACAATTAGTTCAAGCTCATAAGAGGTCTTTATTCTATATTCGCGACAAGACGATATAACGATTAATGAGGCTGCTTTCCACAATTATATTAAAACCTACGGGATAAAAGAACTGATTAGTGGGTGAGCGAATATTAGTCTTATTGCTTAATGCATGAGCTCATCACAAAAAACTAATAACTGAACAGAATATAAAAACGTGAATACTTGGGATATATAATTACCATTCAGTGAGCATATTAACAAACTCACCTTCTCAACTCCATCGGTGTAAAGGTCTGCCATTTTATTTTGAACCGACAGCAACTGTTGAGTTATATTCTTATGATCTGTCTCCAATTTACGACGATCAGTTGTAAATTGAGTGTTATTTTTATTCGCTTTATACTTTGACAGAGCATCTTCATAAGCCTGATAAAGAGCTGAACGACAATTAAGTAGGGCTTGGGCTTCATCTACCAATGTTTGAGCTCGAAGGCGTAGGTCGCTTTTTTCATCCTATGGTGAACAGTTATATTTTATTAAGACTGAACTCAGTTATGACAGAATCAAGATTAAATCACTGGCATAAATTTAGTTAGTAAACGTGCGGAGAATCCAAATAAAAGTTCCGTATAGTTTTTGGGAAAAAGTAACCGTAAATGCAGGAATATGAGGTGTTAAACGCGTTTGCAGCTCTAATAATATGCAACGGCTGATTTTATAACTTTTCCTATCTCACTACGCTACTTCCGTGATGGTATTACTAATCTTGCCTGAGATTGGTGAATCAACAAGAATGACTAACTTAAATTACATTTTCAGCGGCGGCAACCAAAAGCGATGAAGTAATCGGTGTTTATCAACCTATTTTGATTCAGCACAACCAATTACAGTATGTGGTAAGTTAGCAAACCTTGCTTGTTCAGTGTGCACTTCTGTGTTGACTAATTTGCATTTGCTGCGCCTTCTTCCTAAAGATACAGCGTAGCAATATCATATAAACATCAGTATATATCAGTAAACAGCATATATACGCACTCTGACTGCCCTATATTTTCGTTGTCAAATGGCAATACGAAATATAAACTTGTAATGACTAATCATGATTACCCCATCTGAACATCAAACCGTATAACCTATGATTTTACATGCAAAACTAGTTGATGTTCCTACTCGACCACATATTTTGGTGTTAATAAACGATCCGAGTAATTCACAATGGGAAGCTCAGTGATGAATTTGAAGTGAAGACAGGAGTGAAACAAGGTTGCCTACTGTCCCCCGTGATATTCCTGATTGTGGTCAACTGGATCATGCAGCAAACAGTAGGCAGCGAGAAGAGGGGGATACGCTGCTTGACCGCGGAAAAGAACCTAGAAGACTTGGATTTCACCGATGACTTGTGCTTGATGTCACATAAACTTGAAGATCTGCAGGCAAAAACTAACAAGTTGATAGAAGAGGCAGCGAAGACGGGACATCAAGTGAATATAGAGAAGACCGAGGTGATGAAGATACCTCACCACCACCACCAACAACAACAACAAACTCCAATCACCGTCAACGGGAGAAACTTAAAGGAAGTAACCTCCTTCACCTATCTAGGAAGCACTGTTTCAACTACAGGCGGCACAGGCACAGACGAGGACGTCAAAGTCAGAATCGGAAAAGCAAGACAGGCGTTCATTAACCTGAAACCAGTGTGGAGATCCACTTCACTGCACTCAGCACAAGGAACAAGATGCGGATTTTCAACACCAACCCAGTCAAGTCAGTGCTTCTATATGGCTCAGAGACTTGGCGCGTTACGAAAGGGATTTCCAATAAACTACAGACATTCATCAACAACTGCTTACGCTGGCTCGCTACTCAAGATCAGATGGCCAGAATAATAAGAATAAGCAGCAAGGAGCTCTGGGAACAAACCAACCAAGAACCTATCACGCAACAAATATGCAGGAGGAAGTGGAGATGGATTGGCCATGCACTGAGAAGGCCGACTGAGGACATCACGCGTCAGGCCAGTTGCTCGAGTGGAATCCCTATGGGAAGCGACGAGTTGGGCGTCCGGGGCGAGGGTGACATGGAGGAGGTCGCGCGAGGAAGAAATGAGAGCTTCTGGGCTGTCGTGAAGCCAGGTTGAAAAGATCTCAGAGAACAGAGTTCACTGGAGACGTGCTACTGAAGCCCTATGTTCCACTAGGAACCAAGGGACTAATAATAAATAATAATAATAAAACGATCCGAATATTTTGCTGAAGAAGCTGTGACATACGATGAAGCATCTTATTTCGATTTTCTAAACAAGCTATGATTATTTTATATCCTTATAAGGATTAAATCAGACCTAGGGCTCAACTTTGTCCAGGACATTAAATGCAACTACGGTCAGGATGGTCAGAATCTTATTAAGAGGAATGTTTGGAAGAAAAGTTAGAACTATCTCTTTTTTGTCACACCTATGTGAAAATGTGAGGCCTTAAGAGAGTATGCGAGAGAATTTCTGTCTGACGACTTATACAGCAGTTAAATACACTAATTTGAATACCTGATTAGTCGTCTGATGTTATTCGTTCATATACTCAGTAGACTCCCAATTCTTCAACTTTACTGAGGCTAGAAATACTCATCCTAAGGTTAATACTGTGCACAGTTAGGTAGCAAGACTTAAGAACAAAAATTGACGGCAACATCACCTTGTATATTGAGAAATCCAATCGTACATAAATCATGATAGCACAGAATATGCATAAGAAGGCTACAACCAGCATCAGAGGTTCTCGGAGGATCATCGGTAGACTGAAGTGATACCGAACCTAGGATAGTGAAGTCGAAGTTAAAAACAAATAGTAAGATTTTAATAATTATATGGTCACTTAGGAAATGCAAACTTGAATCACAAAAACGCTGAATATGATATAACATAGACCCGTTACATCAATCGAAGATTCATGAGATTCACATTAGTTGTTTATCAGTTTGTGTGGTGACTCCGAAGAAACTTGGCAGACTGATAAACTATACGTAGTTTGAAAGTTGTATATGCAACAGTATCGCTACTTTTCAAGTAATTCGGTATGAGGTGTTAGAGCAAAAGGAATGATGAATGACTATCGACCCGATATTCTGAAGGTTACCAATAGAAATGGTGCACTTATTCACCCCAAAACTAGCTACTCAGGGCTACAAAAGAATAAACTTTCGAAACATGAGCACCTTTTAGCCTGTGGTCTATGGGATGAATGACTTATTTTCAGGGTAAATTTGTTTTTGTTGAGTACGATCCAGTTGGAATCGTTCGCAAAAAGTAATTCCGCTTTAATCAATCAATCTTTATTTTGTCATTACGATAGTGATAAGCACCGCAAATTTGATGAACAATAAGCAGAACTGATACAGTTAGTGAAATCTTTGACATCCTACCATCGGTGACACGTGCAGGATCTGTTGCTTGTGCTTACTACAGGAAAAGTCGTCACGAAGATAGACGACCAAGAAGCAATAACTCAGACCAACCTTTGTAAATGAGCCTCAAGAACGCTGAATACTTACCCCAAGTATCAAACTGATATTAAATTTTTAGAACTAGTATAGTCGTTAAATATGTTAGCTTGAATAAATTGATTTCAAACATAAACCGTGCAGTACAGAAAGCCCTAAAATTTTATCCGATTGAAAAAGTTGTGAGCTGAAGACAGTATCTTAACCTGAAGATGATTATCTTGAGTCTATAAACTGGTACTTAACTGATTCCCTAACAACTGTTGCCCCCTAAGAAACACTTTTGCGAAGTCTTAAAGGGTTAACTGAGCTTCAACCGCAAACTTAGACATTTCGAGCTAGTGCGGTGCAGAGATCATTTGGAAGATTGAATAGTCGAATCTGTTCATCAGCATCACTAATTGTATTTTTCAATAATTCGGATTGTAAAAAACTTAGTCATTGAGATACCATTTAGTCATAGTATATAAATCCAAAGGTAACAATAGTATCAGTTCTCACGCCTGTGACATGGGGTTACAGTTGACCGTACATGTTATATCAAAACAAGCAAGGACTCACCTTAAAATCTTGCATATGTTCATCAACAAGATTGCTGGCCTTGGAAACAATTACGGTACGACCTGATGTATCTAAATATGTTTTCATATTTTCAAAATACTTCTCATCAACGGGAAATGGAGGATCAAAGTGAATATCAGAAACCATTTCAGGTAGAACTATTTTTAAAGTCAAGTTGCGTATAACTTGATTGTCGTAAACATGATCAATGAACCGCATTACAAGTGCAAACTGGGAACCTAGCAAGGGAAAGTAAGACCATGAAAACCAGTTTTGCAGCGAAAATTTAGAGGTTTCATTTGTAACGCCAAAATAAATGTTAAGTGGGAACACACAGTAGTTGATCTATACTCCACAACTCAATGCTATGTCTATACTAGCCAGTCTTCGAGAGCTAGTGGCAATGATCGCAGAGTGAAGTTGAGGAGTTTTAAGAGATCTATTATTGGTATCAGGTGAAACCAAAGAAGGAGACAGAATTGAAGACCATAGGATACGTTTCATTGGACCTTGTATACTAGTGGGAGCCTGCAGGTGGTTGACATCTACCGCCTTCTCACTCTGGAAGGCTATTTCTTCCCAATGTGCCTGAAAGAGAAGTTTTGTGGGATTACAGAGTACAGACGATATTTGCTTGAGTCCGGTAACAGCCTTTTGAGGATTGATTTCAAATTCGGTTATTCTAATGCCAGATCGGAGAAATTCATGCCACCGGTACCGGAAGACCATGGGGAAGAGATGAGTGCTATTTTGAGGGTAGACCCTTTTTAGCCCCGTTCCCCTTTTTCCACAGGGAAGGCAGCACCATCTTGGAGCTGCTGGTCATCCAGGGTGAAACACCCTATTGTTGTCACTTCCATCCAACTAGCGGTACATCCTTGCTTTAGGACACTCATCATACAGTAGCAATCTATTATAATTATAGCTGCTTTCGTCTTACCACCATCCAATAGACCTCTTTCGCACGGCAGGACCTCGAGGGAGTAGGTGTTCCAACCGGTTTAGCTCGCTGGGTCATTGTGAAGTACAAGTGCGGCGATCACCTCAAAATAGCAACTATTAGTAGGGAAATTAACCGTACAACTGAATTTCACACAATGCCGAGTTTAAATCTAAAGCAACAGAACGCCACTATGTTTAGTTAGAATTTGTTGTAGATAAACGCAACTAATGCCACTTTCTGAAGAATAGTGATCTCCGGAGCGATGTAGTACAGTTAAATTCCTAGTTGCACATATTAATGGATCGGTAGTTTGTCTTAGACCTATATTATCTGCTACGACAACTCAGCTAATATCGGCTACATGCAACTCCTTGTGCCCATGTACTGTTTATGTTCTATATAGATAAATATGACGACGCGTGCTTTGAAAGTTATCCCGTTTTTATAACCGACAAACTTACATTATTTATACATGAGAAATTTAGTCGTCAAGACGATGCCACCGATAAATATGCTGACACACGTAGCAACCAAACAACAAAATAACCTAGGACCTCATATGGTGCATTCTATGACGAACGTTTGGGTTTTCCGAACGTCAGGAATTGTGGGATGGTTCGAATTCTGGGTTAACTGTAAGTCTAGCACATAAATCCACTTTCTTATGACAACAGCATAGCTTTTGACTACGCAGCTATATACCATAACTGAAAACTGTCACAATAGCGTGATAAAACGCCAGGTCAATATTTCCTAGCGACGCTACTAATAGTTACATTTGGACCCGCATCGAGCATAAATTGTTGCTTAAATTTCAAGCTGGAAAACTGTCTGATACACATAATCCTTTCTCGAGTACTACCTCTACCGTTTGGTGACTAAAAAATGTCCACCTTTGTGACATCCCCAGAATCTTTGCGGGTTTTACGGTAGGGTCGACTCCACTGTAGTGTAATTGTAGACTGTTAATAGGCAAAGAAAGATGCAAAATAAAAGTTGCTCATAGTATAAACAATACATGTGCAAATTAGTTCTGCTAAAACTGCTAACATCTAAAAAAAAAAAGTAAATGAGCTTGTGCATAGGCCATTCAACCAGTGATCAATCACCATGAATTCATAACGAAGTCAACTCAAGCAAGTAGTTAAGGTTTATATGTGCTATTTTTTTCAGAGACATTTCTAAACATATCTAGCACTAAGTGCTGACTAAATAGTAACGGAATGATCAAAAGCATACGATATGTACTCAAACACCTGGGGAAAAAAATAAAACAATTGCAGCTTGCCGTTACACTGTCACATAGCACCACTCATTGTCGTTGCTACATTGCATCAGTTTATTAACCCGCATTGCCTACTGCGTATTCCTTGTTCGATTTGCAGATTATCATGAGTTGCCTCCTTTTAATCTAGTGGGACAATTAGGTACCGAAGAGCTTAGAATAAATAGGTTTGTTTCTACATGTAATAAAAAGCCAGTCACTGGGTCTAAGTTATTGATACAACATTCGACCAGTCAGTGGCAGATATAGTTTGACAGATCCAGGCAGAAATAAACTGCGATCTAAATAACTCTTGGAATAGTGACGTTTGCGAACTGAAAAGTGTATATGGACGACCAAAAGTATGTGGATTATCTGATACTACCCATGACCCTACAAGCTTCGTTTAAGTGGGTAAATACATCATAATTAAATGTTCAGCGAGCTGTCCCAGAGTTATTGTAACATAGTGATCATGATGGTCTGCACTCAAAATAAAGTAAGATGATTATCTTCGTCTAATTTCACACAAAAATTAGAAACATGTCAGTTGTTTGTGTTATTTCACTAGTGTTTGCTAAACTGTTTATATTTCGCACACAGCAATGGACTTGCTTACTGCGAAATGCTTGTCAATGAATTTGTTGAAAAGTCCGTTTCAAGCCACATATTTTGATACTCAACATCATAAAAACGAGAACTCAACAGCAATTAAATAGGCTTTTAGTAAGTCTACAGATTATCACATAATTCTGATTGTTTTGAGGAAAAAATCAAGGACTACAGATGACACTAACCACAAAATGCGTGTTCGAAGCGACTATCATCAGTCTAATGCCAGGCTAGTCAGACAAGTTACTTATTAGCTACAGGTAAATACCAAGGTTTCAAGGAAATGACTGAACTCAAAATCTACTTGCAATAAATGTGCTTACTTCACTTGATACAACACTACTTAACATCATTAGAGTGGTTAAAACCCACATTTATCCTTCAATACTAACTTACAACAGTGTAAACTTACCACTACGGTAGAGAAATTCATAGGCCGGTATGTTGTATCCCAGCGTATAGCGTGTTTTCCATCCACCCATTAGCGGGAATCGCGGGACTAGTGTCACTTCCACAGAGTCCAATAAATCACTGACTGTACTTGTGCTTATATTTCCAATTTCATCTCGATAATAAATATCTCTTGCAGATGCTGGTAGAGCAGTTTTGAGAGAGTCAACGGATAACTGTTGTCCCACGCCATAATCATAGTCCAGACGAGAAAACGGACCACGTAACTTAGCACCCATATTTACGATTTCCAGCGTCTCTTCAACGGCAATGTTTCCCCAATGCGATACTTCAATAAGGCGAGTCATTTCAGTAACCACCAGGAATGGAACATTATACTCGAAATGCAGGACAAGCGGTTCCTGATTACTTATTACAATAATACGATAAACTCACCGTTGGAAAAGCTTTAAGACTCTCATATGGGCCATAAACTATATCATTTCCGATCACCACGGGTGGTTTGGAGGTTATGGTGTGGGTTAGAAGTTGACCCTTAGGCAGATGGACAGTTGTCAACTGACTGTCAGTTGGATATGGAGAAAAAAAGTAAACATTCCCCTTGAACTTAACTGTCTGCTTCTCAGCTTGAAAAATCTCTGCAGGCCTTGGTTCCAACCACTCAGACAACACTACGTCTATGAGTAAGTGAGCCTGTTGGGTGGATGGTTTCCCAAGACTTATTAAATATGCATAGGAGGTCCCTGGAGCTGGTTTGACAGAAACTTCGCGCTGCAATTTATTATCACTGAGCTGGAATAGTTAGATCTACGATAGAGTAACATACCGATGCGCTGATAAATGCCAAACTTCTCCCTTCTTTTCTTGGAAAACAAACTGATATTCAGAAGGTGTTTCACTTAGCACAATATCATGGTGTATCCTCACAACGCTTCCTTTGAAACGGATCGTGCGTGTCACGTTAACATTTTTAATACTTAGGACAGGAGACACTAATAATAGACAAAATAAGACCAACATTTAGACTGCCACAGTAGCACCTAACACATGGGCGACTCAGGTGTACGCAAACAAACAAGGAAGCAAAGTCCAATCCAATATCCAATATCTTTTGACGAGGTAGTGTAAACCAATTGATTTCTTCTCGCTTGCGGGACCGTTTCAGGTCTTTGGTGAATTCCGACGCAACAGGTCTACCCACTCGCCTCCTGTATCTCTGGTAAGCTCAACAAGCTGTTGGGTGTTGATTAAATTTGTAAGGATTCTGTGGTTTTTTCAAGAACCGTGGTGCGGATGGGTTACTCAAGTGACATGCCACCTGACAGTTAGTTAGGGATCAATAGAGAGGAAGTGCGAAGGGAAACAAAATGACGATAGGGTGAATAGAAGCCAGGTAAATTCACTGGAGATAAGTGATATGGGGAACTTTTACCAAATAATTTGAGAACATAGAGCCAGAAGGAAGAGAAGGAGAGGGTGGGATTATGGAACGGGTTGTGGAGAAAGAGATATTAATACCATTAGTGGGAGATTGTGACTGCAGATGTCTACAGGGAAGTATAAAGAAAGTCAGGTTTGCGATGATAGTGGCGTTACCAACGATCCGCTTTTGGGCTGGCTGTGCCGAGCTGTGCGGAGTTATTAGGTTGTGTCAACCCAGTATGCATCCCAGCTGGATGGGCGCAAACCATGAGTAGCTCAGTAACTGTCCAACCTCTCCTTGAAGCTGTCAACAGAGGGAATGGCAGCCGTAAACTTGTACAGCGAAGAAATGTGCACGCATACAGGTTTTCGTCCTTTGGTTGGCAATTCACCTTGGGTTGCCAAGATGATTGCCACAGTGGCTGTTCGGTAGGCAATCTTTTTGATTTAAGATATGATAACGAACTTCTTCCCGTAGTTCCTTTTGATCTTGGTAGATCAGCTGTAAGAGAGCCAATAATTTAATTCTGTTGGCAACATTAACAAAGAGGCATTTTTAACAGCCTGCTGTCCATGGGCTTCTATTTAGTCCGTATATAAATCAATAAATGTTTTATTTTCAAATAAAAAAAGTTTAACATGAGAGAAGCCAGATTACAGGCTTCATCACGTTCATACATCTCAAAATATCTACAAGACTTGAGTCCTGAGTGGTACAGAAGGAATGCCAATAAAGTCAATTAAAAACTGCCGAAGGTCCTGCTAGTTATGAAACGAACAAGGGAATATTACTTTACAGAGTACATTTAGTATTAAATCATTTACATGTGCTGTCGCAGATAGGCGAATGTTAGCGTGACACTGAGCGCCAAAAGATAGCTGGCAAATGCCGTCATCAAATGACCGGCAGCCGCCACTTTAACGCGGTGGTCGGACTTGCACATCACAAAGACCCAACGATTTATCCCGCTGGAGTGTTTGTTCCCCGAGGTCCTACCATACCAAAAAAGTACGTTTGGCCGTGGTTAAAAGAAAATCGGTTAGTGTCGTACTGTAAACCTCCACTCCCGATAAGGGTCTGAAGGAGAGGTCGTAGTGCATATTGGATAGGGTGTGACAGAAGCAGAGTGTTTTTTCAGGATGGGCAGTAGTGCTACTTTAATTTTGCCTTCCCGGTGAGGAGTAAAGGCTAGGAAACGTTGGCCCGGAAAAAAGTACGCGCCCGCCCCATGTGGCTCGCCACTGCCTGCAACAGAGATTCACAATCAGATCTGGAACGAAAAAGCCAGAATTTCAGGCTTGCGAAATAGCTGTGGGTGGATGGTTCCAAGTAGGTGCCCTTGTGGTCTGCAGTCACAGAAATAACCAGCCTTCCACGGTGCGTATCTGGCAAGTACCAACCACCTACTCGCTTCAGTTAGTTCAAAGGACCCAGCCGGCCAATCCATCCCCCACAATTCTGTCTCCTCTTTTGCCTCCCCATCCTGATACTAATACTAAGCATCCTGTGTCTTCCCCAGCCCCCCTCTCTGTAACTAGTCCCAACAGTCACAATCATTGAAGCCTCACCCCTGTCTCCCAGGCCCCAGGGATCGATCGCATGTAGGAGCTCTCTCTCTCTCACACACACACACTTCACCTTAGAAGAGAGTCTTTAAAATTCACCTCATGAGCCCTCGAAGACTAAGTGACTGGCTCTCGAAGACTTGCTAGTACAGACATAGCATTGGGCTGCGGAGTAGAAAGTGCACTTCTCGACTGGATGTCAGTCAACAGCCGTTTGTGTGATGTTCGATTTGGTGGATCTGTACGAACTAAGAAGGTTGGTGGGGCTGGGCGATGCCTATTCACCATTTTGCGGTGCTGAGTGGTGAAAACAAGGGATGGAGAAGACATCTGCGTTGGGCTACACCTGGGAACCATTTATGTTTGTTAATGCCGCCAAGATGATCATAGTCGGGTAGCCGTCATTGAAAAGGATAGTACGGTAATTACCTAGGACAGGTGGCTTGAAGGTTGGGCGACCACTCTGAAACACAGTTCATCTGGCTAACAGCAACGCTTTAGTTGCTTAGCGCCTGCCCTAAACCTGAGCTTGATCCAGATCACCGACCTTTAACTCTCCTTGAAGCTGAGAAAGCTGTAGCAAACCTGAAACGATGCGAACCAGCAGGACCTGACAGCTTGTCAACCGAATTCTCCAATGATGGAGGCATAATGTCAACTGTGATGAAGGCCGTACTGTATTGTGTGTGGGAACCAGAGATGGCGCTATCAGACTGGTGTACTTCAACAATCGTCCCAGCCCATAAGAGGGGAGGGAAGTTTCCTCCTGACTACCGCCAGGGAATTGGTTCGACCATCTGAAGTCCTACGACACATGTTTGTCCGGTGGCTAATTTGAGCTCCAGAACAACGAACCCAGGACGACGGGGCAGGCCTCAAAACTGGACAAGGGTGTGTCCATTTTTTTTCACCTTTTGGCAAGTTCTGAAACATAGGCATGCCCACTGGCCGGTGACCGGTGCCTGCGATATTCGCCAACCGGAAGGGTGCATTTTAGTGTGTCGTCGTGAGATGTTGCGGCGGCCCCTCACTGTTAAGGGAGGACCGATCACGTACTTAGTGTTCATTGAAGCTCTAAACATGAATTCAACCATGTCATGGCCTATAGCTAGTCATCAGGTGAACTGACGAAAACTAGTGGTGTCAGCGGAGGATGTCCACTGTTATCCGTCCTGTTTAACTTTGTTGTACACGTACCAATAGGCACAACTTTACAGGGACTGATCTACTGTCTGGAGGTCATCTGGTTGATTTGAAGTATGCAAACAACACTGTCCTGCTGGATGAGAGTATTGACAAAAGGGTGAGTCTTCCAAATAAGTTAAGCAGAAATATGAGTATATTTGGTATTCGTCTCGCGCCCGTCGGGCGTTAGATGATGCTTCTGGATTAGTCTTCAACTACTCCCTCCACCACTTCGCTTACCTGGGGGTTCGCATCATCTCAGATAAGCCAGTTGCTGACGAAATCCCAGCTCAAACACAGAAGCATCGTTTGACATCTACCAACCTGTCCCATGTGTGGCACAGATTAGATGTCCGACTACCTACCAAAAGACAAGTAGAGTGCTCTGTCACCCGTCCTGTTCGGTCGTGCGGCTGTTAGATATGACAGCTGAAAGTAGAAGACGTTCAGTGATCACAAGGTCTGGATCACAGATGTCCTCTTAGCAGTGCTCAAGTATAGTGGAACCCCCATGTGAGCAATGTTGAGGTCATGAGAAGGGTGCTAGGCAAGACAGGGAAGTCGGTTTTGAAGTTGCGAACCTTTGCTGACAGATGGCTTGAACACGTAATACGAATGTCAAGTCACCCCCTACCTCTAGGTGCCATGCTAGAAGCTGCATTAGGCTGGGAAGAGGATGAAGGGTATCCAGATCAAAATGTGGTACCAGTGGATGGACTCCCTGGCTGTTGGTCTGAACCGTGCAGCTTATCTGGTTGGGATCTCCGAGACGATAGGAATCAGCGTCTGAGGGCTGTTGGTGACATGGCTGAGAATCAGCTACTATGATGCACATGCATTCGCCCTTTGACGTACCCTAAAGCTTGAATTTTCTCAGTCACATTCATCCGTGGATTGTTTATTCTCCCAGATGACTTCGTCTACTGTGATATCACCCTCTATTCACTTACTGTTTGTACACTAGCAATGAAATGTGGCAACTTGAGCCGGTGAATCTAAGTTCCAGGTTTCACGTTAATTCCAAGTGTCTGTTTATCAATACTTGATAAGCTAAGTTTGCTATACAGAAGTCCAGATAGGGGAGTAGGTGAGGTTGTAGTGGCAAATATTTCCCCCAAACCGGTAGCTAAAAGTTAAACGAAACTCAGTGCTGATGCCAACCCTCGTAGTTTTAAGGAACTTGGCATTGTGATATCACACAGCCAGAGGCCTTTGCCATTTAATTATTATTATTATTGTTCCTGAGTGTACAGGCACACACCGTTTTTACAGGTGTGAATAAGTTTCTATATAAATTACATGTATCTTGACGAAATGTAATCTCAGTCCCCACCTATTGTCACCAGAGGAAATATGTGCTGCGCGTTCATATAATGGAATATCCCAGCAGAATAAGTACGCGAAAATTTACAAGTTGGACAAGTGGAAGTGTTGTCTTCTCATTAACAACTAACCAGGTTTGTTTCTCGACACTACACGTATTACCTAGAGAAAAATAAAGCTTGGAGCTAATGCTTCTGTCGTGACAGTTTGTACTTTTTACTTGAGATACTCATGAAAAATTTATGTGAGGATGTATAAACAAGTTGTTTATTTATTGTACTTCACCGATAGTCCCAGAACTAAAATTCATGTATTCAATTCCACTTTACACCAGAGATTCATAATCTCCATGAGTATTACGACTGAAAATCAAATATCCTCATTTTTCCAACTCTAGCGTCCAGAAGCAGTAGACTTCTTTGAACTATCTAATACTAAATTCCATTTTGTTAACTTTCATGAATTATCAATTTGACGGTGTTTGTAAACTGGTATTATCAATTTGACGATGCTTGTAAACTGATATCCCTCATGTTGAATCCACTATATAAAGATTATATTTGTTATCATCTAAACCCTAACATTGTATGCGCTGAAAAG